GAGGGTCCCCGTTTTCTCGGAGAAAGGGAAAGGCTTCTCCCGAGGACGCCCTGACTGGCCTTTAAGAAGAGCTTTCGGCTAAAGCAAGCCAGCAGCTTTGGCTCTGCCCTCGGCCAGGTGGCCCTTCCCTTCCCAAGGATGTCTCTGGCACAGAATTGGGCCCATGGGCTGAAATGGACTCCCTGCTCTTCAGACGCCTGGCTCCTTCCCCCCCAAAACCCATGGGGAGGGGCCCTCTGCCCGTCCGCACGAGCTGCGCCGCTCTGCCACGTCTGCGGTGGGGCTTACCCATAATCCACGGTCTGGGAGAACCAGCCCAGCACCGGATGCCAGTGGGTGAGGTTGGACTTCTTCTGCGAGACGTACTTCTGGCAGTACGACAGCATCTGGATGAGGACACTCACAAAGTGTGTTGTCTCCTCCTCCAGCACCTTGTCGTTCAGTGACCCCAGGTAGATGAGGTTGCCTGCAAGGAGAAGGGCGGCAGCCGTGGGTCAGCTCTGGGGAAACCAAGCCCATTTCTTTGGCCATTTAAAACAGATGAGCTGCCCCTTTTGGTGCCCTGCAACCCTCTGCAGCACATGGCGAAGCCGCGGGGCCCTCCTGGCCCTGAAAACCCTTCTTCGGTGGCCCTTCTGGCATTTCCCACCCATTGCTCGTATGTTTCAAGCGTTCTTTGCAACCCTAAGGACTAGGAACTTGAATGCTGAGCTGTGATCTTCCCCAGCTGTTTCTTCACGGCCGTCTTCTACATGATTGGGCAACACAGGGCCAGCTGTAGGCTACCATTGCAAAAGCAAGGCACGCTCTTTCACGTCCCACGTACACACCCCTACATGCTCACATGTGTTCCCTAACGGCGTGCAACGCTGGCGAGCCATGTCTAGCGACTATGGGGTTTGGGCCTACCTAGCAGGCAGAGCACGTGGCTCCCTTCCAAACACACACAGACGTCTCGACACGGCTCCTCTCGGCTCAAGAACAAGATGAACTTCCGCAACAGATCGTGTTGCTCCACCACCGCCAGGCGCTGAAAGGAAGAGAGGGTTCTGATGGCCAAGCATCCTTCGGAATTAAATCTTGTGTTTCTCCTTAGCTGAGCGTTAGCTTCCAAGGTATCTGAGGATGAAAGGCCAGGGGATCTGAATCCTTTCAACCACCTGGCCGGGAAGGATCCCTTACCTCCGGCGTGAGGGTCGCGAGGTGGGTGACGATGGCCGGGACAGACATGATGTGGATCAAGAAGGAGCGCAGCAGATTGTCGGAAAACTGAGCTGCAACCACAGGCCTGGGGAGGGAGCAAAAGAAAGAAAGAGAGAGAGGTAGAGAAAGCTTTAAGGAATACAGAGAAGAAGGTATTCCAACACTCCTATTTCTCTCCGGCTTTAAAAAGCATCGTTCCCTTAGCAAGAAAAGCACGATGGCGTCAGAGGGAACCCAGCACCTTCTGGAAAACACCCAGCGGTCTTGGAAATCCTGAAAGAGCCTTCACTGCATAGCACAGAGATGGGAAAATCGGGGTGTCAGAACCAAATCTGTCAGTTCTGAGTTTTTGGGAAAACAGAAGGGCTGACGAGTTACAAACAAGCGCTGGTTATTTCAGGTCTCTTTAGGCTCAAAAAGGGGTCCGTGACACCAAGCAGAACCATTGGAGGTGAAAAAAGCCCCATAAAACCCAAGCAGAAAGCCCAGCCGTGTTTAGTGACGGCAGACGCTTTCCCCCCCCGGAAGATGGGCTTGGCCCGCATCTACCCAGCCGCTCTTCCGGATGAGTGATCGGCCTTCTGAGTAGCATTTCCCGTCCACGGAGAATGCGTGAATCCCCCGAATGCTTTCAAAAATCAGTAGAGAGACAAGTTTAGGTGGAGAGGAAAAGCCTCCCATCCCGAGTCCTGCTGCTGAGCGATCTCACCGCAATGCGAGAGAAAAAGTGGCCGTCAGGGTCCCTTTGGAAAGCGAGGGCCGGGATCTCGCCAGGCCGTTCGTCAGCAAAATCTGGGGGGAAGGCAAAGAGAGAAGACTATATAAACCAGCAGGGTGAAGCCTGTTCTTCCCAAAAGATGGGGCGCTGGCTGTCCCGCGGGAGACGCGCAGGGCAACGGCCACACCCCCATAAAAGCTTGTGTGGAAAAACCGTGGCCGGACAAGTCTGAGGAGTTAGGAAGAAGCAGACAGAGGACACCGAGGCCTTGAGAACTAACAGGCAGCTGGAACGAACCTGGAGCACAGAATAAAATCCTTTTTGGTTGAGATGCCCCATAATATTTGCACAGATGTGGTTCATGGCGGGTCGCAAGGTTTCCCCTGGAAAAGACACCACAGAGGGAAAAAATACAGTTGATTCTTTCTTTCTTTCTTTCTTTCTTTCTTTCTTTCTTTCTTTCTTAAATTGATATACAGCCCCATTGGTGAACTACTCTGTTCTTGGGGGGGCGGGGGTTTACCCTGATAAAAGCACAACAAGCACATGAAAAGAAAAACACACCGAGAATAGCAATGAACTCAAAAAAATAATTACACCAGAATTGGTATAATATATTTTAAACTGAGGCGATCAATGTATTAAAATTTAAAAAAAACAATGTTAACATGGATCAAACCAGATTTCAACAAAAAACTGCATTTTAAGGAACCTATTCTGATTTTGAGAAACCTATTCATGTTTGCATCTTGCTAAAAAAACTATATTAAAAATCCTCAAAGTTCCAGCGGGTCACAGGAACCGAGGAAGACAGAGAGAGAGAGAGAGAGACAGCGCACCTTTTCCTCTCAGTATCTTCCAGGTGGACGCGTCCGTGAAGGTGACCAGCATGGTCAGATGTAAATTCACCAGCTTTGAATCCTGCAAAATGTCTGGCTGGAAGGGGTGGGGGGGGAAGAGGAGGGAAAAGGGACACCAGAGGCATAAAACATCAGAGTCACAACAAAGGGAAAACACACACACACATGCACGCACAGCAAAACGGATCAGCCCCTACCTTCAGGAGCTTCAGAAATTCACAGCAAAGCCACAGAATGTCTTTAATCTGCTTGATCCACAGGAGCGTGAGCTCCTTCGAAAGGGCCAGCGACACATACCACACCTGCGGGCAGAAGACGAGAAGGAGAGGGTGACAATTCTCATGTGTGTGTGTGTGTGAGAGAGAGAGAGAGACAGACAGAGAGAGACAGAGAGAGAGAGAGACTCTCTCTTAACCACAGCACTGAGAAAACACTGGGTCACCCCCATCATTCAGGGCAATATTGCACGCCCAGCAGGAAAGCTGGCTGGATGAGGACACCAGGAGGTTTCGGAATATTCACAAACATTCCACCTTCTTGAGAAATAGCAGGAGCCTCAAGCTCACCTTAGGTTCATTCTCGGCATCCATACTGTTAAGGACAGCACGACACAACTTCTCAAATCTCTGTAAGGAAGGCGGAAATGACTTCAGGATGGGAACAACCAACATGGGTTTTTCCTGGCTTGTTCTGAGCGTCCCTGGGGGACAAACCTTTCCCAAACATCTGGGAGCCACCCCTCCATCCGTCCTTCTCAGGAGCTGACTTCTGCATTCACCCACCCGACCTCCAGAACAGCCCCTCTTTCAGGGGGCAGAAGCTTAGGCCCAACAAAAGTGATCTCAAATTTTTAAGCTGCCACTGGACTCTCTGCTCCTTTTGCCCCAGCCCTGTCCACGCGGCTGCCACGGCCGTTTCTGTCGGGAAAGGGCTGAGATGCAGGGGACACGGGGCACCGGGTGTGTGTGTGTGTCCTCGAGAAGGCTGAGATGGTGATGGAACGGCAGTACCCACCTCTTTGTCATCTTGCACACGGAAAACAAAGAGCAGCTTCCGGGCGATTACAGCGATGGAACAGCGGTACCCACCTCTTTGTCATCTTGCACGCGGAAAACAAAGAGCAGCTTCCGGGCGATTCTGAAGATCGAAAGGGCTGTCTTCTTACCAGCTCCAGCGCTGTTGATGTCAAAAAAGTCATCCACTTCTCTCCTAGGAAGCAAAGAGTAGGAAGGAGGTGGGTGGAGGAATATCAAGCCGCCCAAACAAAGAGCACCTGCAGGAGCAGCAAGAGAGAAATTCTCCCCTGCCAGACTCCCCTCTCCTGGATTAGAAGACCCTAGAGCCACGACTCGGGAGGCAGGGAAGCATCCTCTCTCAGCGCCCCGTGAGCCCCCCTTTCAGCCCACCTGATCTCCCGCTGCAGTCGACAGCGACACAGAAACCTCCGGACGAGGGCTTGGATTTGCACGGCGGCCCGTTCCCGCTCCTTCAGCTCCCGGCGCTCCTCGCGGGCCTGGCGCGCTTTGTCAAGGAACTGGGCCTTGGACGACTGGGAGGCGCTGAACATGTTGGCCTCTCCTGTCGAGGGAAGAGAAAAGGGGGGAATAGGGCAGAAACCCACGTTTGGCCCCCCCACCTGCAGATGGCCTCCAAGGCGCGTTACAGGCAGGCCGCTCAACGTTTAGGGAGATCTGCAAGGTTAAGCTGCCAGGCCCGGTGTGGGATACCTAGTGGTCAGAGCAGGGGCTGGAAAAGCCACCCTCTTGGGTGAAACTGGTCAGAATACCCGCCCCCCGGCAGCGACAGAGTTGCTGGGCCCCTCTGGCCCCCTTCCCCAGCAACCCTCTGGAGAGGGGCGCAGATTTATTTTCCCACCTGAGAAATACCAAAAAGAAAGAGATGAGACAGAGACATGAATCATTTTCTGAGTCAGGCACGTTTTGCCTCTGTTAAATCCTGAACTGATGTCCCCTCGGTTTGCACGTGCAGGGTCCAATGTACGAACCATGGCTTTCTCTGCCCACCAAACTCACATTTCTGTATAGCTTTCCCTTAACCGGCATATTTTAACACGCACTTCGAGCCGAGAAACGCACAATATTTAGGGGCTGCCAAGAACACCAAAGGGAAGAATGTTCTGCATGAAACTCAAAGGTTTGCTTAAAATGTGAACCAAAGGAAACTCTTCCTCACCTGAGAGAAACAGGAACAAAAACAATCAGCTCTTCTCATTAAAAAAAAATAAATTAAGGCTAGACTCACCCCAAGAAGATGCTTCTGGCAGAAGAACTACCCGGCGATCACCCGGCCACAGACATGGCTCACGCCTGCTGTTCGAAGCCTGCTTTTGTGGCTGCAGGACAAGAGAACTGCGTTCCTGAGGGCTGGAGGTCAACGCTCCTCACTGGATCGGAACCGAAGGGAGAGAAAACAGGACAAAGAACCAGAGGGTTTCAAGAACAGACACGCTATCGATCGCCTTCTTGGACTCCACAGATTGATCCCATCCCCCTTGAGAACCTTGCAACTCGGTAATAGGCACAGTAAGAAAGGCAGGGGCTGGAAGGGTCCCTTTGGGTCATCCAGCCCACCCCCATGGTCAAGCAGGCACCGGATGGGGGGATTTGAACTCCCAACCTCTGGCTAGAACCTTGCAACTCAGTAATAGGGACAGTAAGAATGGCAGGGGCTGGAAGGGGCCCTTTGGGTCATCCAGCCCACCCCCCTGGTCAAGCAGGCACCCGGGGGGGGGGATTCGAACTCCCAACCTCTGGCTTCGCAGCCAGAGACCTCGACCTCTGAGGTATCCAGTACAGTAGTTCATTAAGGATCATCATTATCATCATTTTAGAAATACAGGGCTGGCAGGGATCCTATGGTAGCCCTCACCAGGCCATGCAGTGGCAGTGAGTTCCATCGATTAACTCACCCCCAGACTGGATTGTTGTGCTCTGGTGCTTTTGAATGTGTTTTCAGTCTTGATTTCGTTTAACCTTTTTCAATAAGGTGCTTGTTTCATTTTTAGAAATATTTGTATACTTACTGTTTGTAGCTTTTGAATACTGTCCTTTTTCACGCTTTCAGCTGCCTTGGGTCCCTTTTAAGGAGGAAAGCGGGGTGAAAATATTTCAATATTTATTCAATAAAAGAATAAAATAAAAAGGCATGGAACTACAGTCCACATGGCTGGAGGGGGACGGGTGGGGGATGATGGGCTATGCCGTCCCATATATTTGGAGGGTGAGAAGCTGGGGGGGGGAGAGTCAGGATTGCTGCGCCTCAAACCTGAGAGTCTTGGGTTCAAATCTCGAGTCTTCTTCGAGGGAAACTCCCCCGCCCAGCCAGAAAGCTTTCCTTTTCTTGGACTACAAGTCCCATGAGCATCCCAAAAGGGGCCCTTTCCCGGCTGAGCGGCCCCCCCCGGAGGTCCATGGCCTGGAGTGACACGGGAGGAGGCGTCCTACCTCGCGGGGCCGTCGTGTTATCCCCAAGGGGAGGCTCAGGAAGGGGCTCCCCGACCCCCGCTGAGTTCCACCCCTGGGGATGATGGGCACTGTAGTGGGCGACCCGTGAGGCCTCCCTCCCCTCTCCTCCCCCCTCCCTACACACACACACACACACACACACACGGGCTCACCTCCCGCGCCGCCTCCGCCCGGCCGCCCCCGCAGGGCTCCGAGGAGGAGGAGGACCGTCCGCCGGGACCATAGAGAAGGGAGAGGGGCGGAATAAGAGAGCGGCGCCGGCCCGGAAATCTCCCTTCTTCTCGCCCGCTCTCCCTCTCTCTCTGGCCCCTCCCCCGGGAGCAGGGAGATCCCTAGGAGGCGGCTAGAGCGACCACTTCCGGCCTTAGGCTTCTCCGGAAGGGCGTCCCTTCCGCCCGGAAACAAGGCGACCTAAAGCCTGAGTTCCCTCCGCCTAAGGTTCCGCCTCCTTTCCCCCCCCGGCGGCCAAAGGGAGGGAGGGGCCGCAAAGGCTGCTGGGAAAAACGAAGAGACACCAGGAAGGCGGGGGGGTGGCTGGTTGAAGAGGAGGGAGGGGGAATTCTGG